GGACATGAACATTTTACTCCTCACATGGCTTGTGATCCCAAAGAGGACAAAGGCTGCCCCGGCAGCACCCTGTTGCAGAGGCGACCAGGCAGCATGGACGGCAGGGGCTGTGTTTTCCTTGAGCCTTGGAAGGTTGTGTTCCCATAAGAGGCAGCAGGAGGCTGCAAGTTCTTGAGGTTATCCCACAACAAGCAATAGAAACTTGGGAAAACTCCTGGTTTTGGATAGTGGTAGAGAAATCCAGCCCCACTGGGCTAAAGAAGACGCTGCCCTCATGGCCCAGGCACTCGCCTCTCCTCCTGAGGTGCAGGAGCTGGGGCAGAATCAGCACCTGTTTATGCACAGATTGTAACTCTGTTTCTTGCCAAGAGTTGCTCCATAATAAAGTCCAGGCTTGGTGCCTAGCTGGAAATTGGAATGAGCATGGATTTAGCACCAATTCTCCTTTTTTTTTTTTTTTTTTTTTTTTGTAAATATTATGGGATAATCAAGAACTTGCATGATTTTTTTTTTTTTTACTGATGTGTATTCATAGGCCTACATTCATCTCATCTGACTTACAGATACAGTTGGAGGCCTCGGACAAGGAACCACACGAGAGCAGCTCAGCCCACGTACAACTGGAATTGTCCTCGGCAGATCCAGACTGTGTCCGAGGGCTGCACGCACCTCCCGTTAAATGGGACAAACGCGTTTGGGGCACGTCTGGCACCCAAACAAGAACCCACGAGTGAAAGTTCAACAGTAAGGAAATAAAAGAGCCAGTCGCTGAGAGAACCTGCTTACAGAAAGTATAGCATTTCTTTGGCTTAGTATCTTCTTGTTTTTAAAATATGTTCAACTACAGTTCCACAGAAAACTGCAATATAGATAATAGCCAAAGAGCCAATTATTTTAATCACATGCTTTGATAATATGGGGAAGATAAGTAGCGTTTTAAAATAAACACAACCTCAGCTCTTCTACCTGAGCGCGCGCGGCCCGCGCCCCGGCGGCATCTCGGAGGGCCCCGGCCGAGCAGGGCGCTCGTGTTGTGTGCGACACCCCCGCGCCCCGCATGGCTCCGTCCTGCCCCTGCCTGGTCCACAGCTGCCCTTCCCTTTCCTCCCTTTCCCCCTTTGTTTCTCTAAATTTGTAGTTTCTGCTCCCATGTTGCTGTTTCCTCCATCGCACCTGTCACAGTTTAAAACGAGGAGACGACAAGAAACGATGACAAGTGCCTGCTGTCACCACGCTCACACCTCACAGAGTCTTTTCCATTTGAAAGGGATAAATTAACATGCATTCCTTCTCATTTTTAATAAGAAAAAATGTGATTTGGTCAGATTACTGACTTAATTACTAGAGTTAACAAAAGACAGACCATCAAGATGACTGGTATTCTGTACCTGTATGTACCTGGAATGGGCTCAGTTAGCAGTTGCCTGTTTCATCATCAGATAGACCAGGAACCTGCCCCACACCTTCCTCCTCCTCCCCAATTAGTTTTAGTCATTGAAGAATGATTTTGGCAAGGAAATCAATTGTGGCATTTATTCATACTATACATCTAAAGGGATTCCTTTTCTGAAATGATATACTGATTTTAAGTTTGAAAATAAGGTTGATCCCAGAGCAGAAGCTGGAGTGAACCAAAGAAAAGGACTTGGTCTGACCACACCACAGTGACTGGTATAAAAATGCATAGCAGGCTTTGGCAAGCTCACATTTGTACCCACAAGTAAAATCCAGGGGTGCCATAAGCTTTAGGAAAAGGGGGCGGATTGCAAGGAATCCTAAGGAAGCAGGGAGAAGGGGAGGGCATGCAAGCCTAGCACAGGTACTGCTGCTAAAATGAAAACTGTGACGGGAGTGACAATTCATTTTGTGACTTGCAGTCTTCCCCTTTTTAGGGAGATTGCAGGATGATCCACTTTGTCCAAAATATTGAGAAAAAGGCATTTGCCTAAGGGTGATAACGAACAGAAAAAAAAAAGAAAAACAGATTAAGTCTTGTCACATCTGTGACACTGATCATGAAATAGGGAAAGACATCATCTTGCCTCTAAAAGGAGAGTATTTGGGCTCAAGCTCCTTAGCTCTTCACACTGCTGCAACGTGAGGACTAAGCGCTGCAAGTTCCTCTAGCGCAGGGGCCGACAGTGACATCCACATGCAGGGAGCAGGAACCTGGCAGCAGGCTTGGAGCAGCCCCACGGAAATCCCAGCCTGGTTAAGAACAGGACAAGCTTGGCAGCCTTGAAAGTCAAACAGGGCTTTAGGCAGCAGCTGAGAAACGGGGATCACAGTTTCCAGCTAAGTCACTCCTGAACAGCCCCTAGTCCTGCGCTAGGTCCTGGTGTCCTTCACTCTGATCTCGCTTCGGGACCCCGGAGATACCTGTCCAAGATGCATCTGCCTCTCTGTGTCTGCTCTCCGATAGGACAAGTCCCAGTCTGCTTTAACCAGGTTCCTTTGAATTTCTGAGCTGCTCTGAAATGAAAACTCTGCTAAAATTGAAGCCCTGATATTGAACAAGATCAGCTCCATCCCTTTATTCCTCAGCTTACTTAAACAGCTTTCAAGGGCACATTTGTTTTAAAGTAAAATGGCATTTTGCTTTAGTCAATCCTCTATTTCTGTTATTATCAAAATAACAACAACAACAAAATACTATTGATCTCAAAGATTTGTGTTTGCTGCCAACTAGAAAAGGGAGTTAGAGAAATAATTAGGCTAGAAAATCAAACCATCCAGAAGGAGCGTGTGAATTCTGCAGAGAACTCTTCTGCCTTCCTTGCCTTAGGGCTGCAAAGGCCCCAGTTTCGGATGAAGCCCTTGGGCCCGCACTGCTTCCCTGCGATGCTCCACAGGGAAGTCCATCACCAAGCCCTTCACCTCCTCGCTTCTTCCCTGACTTACTGCTGTCTGCCATCCTGTGCCTTCCTGCCCCCACAAAATGTCCTCCCGCTGTAGCCACCTGCCACCCTGGCTGGCAACAACCGCAAACGACTACGGCGGCACTGGGTGTGAAGAGCTCCGGGGCTGCACGGCCGGCTGCCCCGGAGCGGCCGCAGGGCTCCCTGGAGCGAGGCCTGTGGAGCGGCTGCAGGGCTGCCCAGAGTGAGGCCTATGGAGCGGCTGCACGGCTCCCCTGGAGCGAGGCCCACGAGCCCGGCGTTCGGTGGGAAAGCTCAAGGGGCGGAGGAGGAAGGTGGATGCAGCCACCGGGCGGGTGGAGACAGGCCGCGTGAGGTGTTAAGAGCCACCCAAACCCAGCCGGTGGAGGGCAGCCCTAAGCTGGAGGCAGGACACATCTCCATGTCGGGAGATCCTGCCTTGGAGCAGGGACACAAGCATGGCTCTGAACACTGCAGCCGATGCCATTCTGCTCACCAATATGATTTAAATGCCAATTACCAATCTAACACTGTCAGGCAACGAGGGTATGACACGCACCGAGCCTCAGCTCCGCGCTCCGCTGCAGCTTCCCTCAAGCTATGTTACCAGCCACATCTCCCTGCACAGATCAAATCCACCCATTTTTCATGCCTGTAGAATAGCAGCTGCATGACCGGCAAGACTTTTGCCAAGCATTATCATGCTGGGAAAGCTGGTAACAGTTTAGTTCATTTTCTTCTTTAAAATAAATATTCATTATATTTTGATATATAAAATATAGTATCTAAAACTGTTGGGTTACTAGCTTTGCATAGCGCGAGTTTTGGGCAAAGGACAGATATCTGGATATCTGGCTTCTTATCTTTTTCCTCATATATCCTAGCCCAACCATTCCTCTTCTCAGCACCATCCACACAAGATGCTTACAAGGAGACAGCAGGTTTATTTAATTTTGACTTTTATCTGGCGTAAGAGAATGCAAGAGATGAGTAACATCCAGCCTGCTGACTGACCTAAATAAACACCATCCTTACAGCAACACCAGCTTACGAAGACAAGGACTGCTTTAGGTTCACAGCAAACAGTCACTAGGGGTGATGACAGCTGGAGGAATTAATACTTCTGTTCTCTTCTTATGTTGCATGAGAAATAACTGCACTGACTGAAAAACAGCTTTAGTCTGCAATGCATCACGACAACACGATTTAGACAGCTGATGAAATTCTCTCTTGTACCTAGAATGTAGCTTGGTGCAGGATTTTATCATCACAGAAATGTCTTTTTCATCCTACAGTCTCTGTTAGGTTGCAGCACTGAATAAATGCACTTATGCTAGAGGTGACAGTAGGTCTATTTAAAGAAGCCTAAGATTGGATGTTTTTAAAATCAGAAGAGAAATCTGAGTAAAGATCTCACCTCGCTAGTCCCAATTCCGTTAAAAAGACTGAATGTACAAAATATAACATTTGGAAATTTTATATTCTCGCTCAATCTCCCCTATCATGCTGAGAAAATAAATTCAATTCATATTGCTATGAAATTCTTATTTTTGCAACTGGTGACACTCCAGGCATTGTCAGTTATGAAGACTAAAATCCTCACTCTAATTCACATTTTCAGATAGAGGTTAGCAGCCCACTCAAGCAACACAGCAATAAACCTTCTTCCACTGAGAACACTTTTATTCAAAGGCAAAAATTGGAGTTAGACTTCTAGGTTGTGGGCAAGGCACTCGCAAAGTGAGCAAATTATTTTTGCTCACAGAACTAATTTAATGTTTAAGTGCAACAAAAACACTAAATTAGCCATGAAGATCATGCATATCCAACAGCTTTCACCAGACATGACTGTGACCCAGGTCTCTAAATACAGAAATAGTTAAATCCTAAGGAATCAACTCTTTTTTTTTTTTTGCTTTGCTTTACCATATGATTTTTTCTTTTGACCAGTCATAGAAATATCATTTTCCTTTTTTAATATTTAACCATTTATTAAAATATTATATACTTCAGAATTAATATATGCTTTCAGTAATAAAATAAGGAATACTCTTTTTTTTTTTCCAATGATATTCAGACCCCAAAAATTAAAGGAAAAACATTCATGCTGAAAATAGACAATGTACAGCACTAGATCAGAAATAATATCTCTTGATTAAAAACCCAGGATCTTACTGTGAAAACTGTACATTGGTTCACCACTCACTTCTCCCTTTAGCCACATATTTCTGTTTCAACACCTGGCAGTGAGTGAAATGCAAACATGGATTATTCGATACTGAAGCAAATCTAAGAGCCTCAGCATATTTGTCACAGTCCATCCTTCTGACAGACTCTAGACACTGTCTTGCAGAGACAGCTTGCTCTGTGTCTGGGATGAGCACCATTTCTTACGCATGCAGGGCACAGCAGAATGTCACTTTGCAGTCCTGGGTGTTTCATGCCTCTCTCTCCATGCAGTGTCCTCTTGGCAAGTCGGCGCGTCTCTCTCAGTGAGGCATATGCACACATTTCCAAACAAATAAGCTGTGTTTTCAGAAATACATTAAGCATGAGATAAAAAACACTACAATATAGTCCAAAAGAAATGGTTAGTAAGGTAAACAGCAAAACTTCAGTTAAATGTATGCCACACTAAATTAAAAATGCCTTGATCGACTATAAAAATGGACACACTTTCATTTTAGTAAATTGTAGCTGTACATACCAACATCTGGTCTATTTATTTTGTTTCAAATATCCACTTCTTTACATGGAATAAAAGTGCACATAGGTAAAATGATGTGAATTCTAAAATTGGACTTCACACTGATACAGATTTCCATGTCAATTCCTATTTAAAGAGTAGTGGAAAGGATACATACCTGCAGTCATCCCCTCCAGCACTAACAACATATCTATCTCCACTTGTAAAGCGGATATTGGTCAAATGGGCTGAATGCCCTAAAAATCGTTTGTGTTTTGCCTGAAAAACAATAAAATGGAAGAGTCTCAATACAATGTAGCCTCGTAAATCAAGTAAGGTATTCATGCTTGTATCTACCTTCTAATTGCATGATATACTCATCAGAATCAGAATACCACACAGGTTTTCAGGTGTGAAAGATCCCCTAAAGAACTGCAATTGTGCTGCAATACACATTAAATTGTCTCCAGATGAGAAAGTGCCTGCAAACTGGGGACAGTGGTCAAGTTAACACAATAATATGAGATATATTTTGATATGGGATTAACCTACATATACTGCATGTAAAGTCTCTAAAACTGAAAAAAAAAATGATTACAGTGCAGGCAATTTATTCAGTGTACTCTGAAAATCACCAGTGCTAGTGAAAAATCTGTAAACTCTTCATGCATGGAAATACACAGATGGAGATAAAATTACCAGCTTTTTTCTTCATTTGTTAAATGGAGATTTATAGTTAAATAGAACTAAGTGCTTTGAGATTTCAAGTATACATGTACTATGCTAGTGCAAACCATCAAGCAATATCATCACCTGTTAGTCAGAGCTTATAGCAACAACTACCGCACAAAATGTTAAGAAAAAATGAAGACGAAGCTACAGACTAAGGATAAATAGATGCATTAAAAGCTACACATTTAGAGAAAGAAATACTTCTATCATACTCTCTCCAGAGAAGCAACACATGGCCACAATATCAAAAGTACTTTTTGTTATAGTCACGCAAAAAAAAAAATTCTTACAAATTTTTCAGGACATGGAAAGTCAAACAGTTTGACCATGCCAAAATCATCACCCGTGACAAGGTTGATTCCCGAATGAGAGACACAGGCACAGTTCACATCAGCTTTTTCAGCGTGTCGGGACCAGATTCCAATTACTTCGTCTCCTAGAACACTGAAATAGAAAAGGAAATGCTTTTGAAAGCTGTAGGAAAAAATAATCAAGTTAGGACACAGGAAGCAACTAATATATTACAGTTGATTTTATATAAATGTTACATTTAGATTTTAAAGTTTATACATACAAATCTCAGGCAGACTGCATTCTGCAATTGATTTTTATATTTTTCTCTATTTGCCTTTGAAATTGATCCAGTGGTATAAAGAATGTGGCTGATGACAACAACAAGATAAAAGGTGAAATCAATAGTGCCAATACTAAGTCAGAGAGTTGTTTGTCACAAACACTAAGAAGAAAAGGACAATGAAATATAGTAAAGTTACTCCATACCCAAGTTACAAACACTAATTTTAGCTGCTCACAGGATTTATTTTCTTTATAACTGTGTTTTTGTTGATTCTATCATGTTTCAGAGACATCAATTAGATGAAAAATTCCTTTGCCTTCAAGCCTAATGAAGATTTTCCATTAATATCAGAGAGAGAGAGAGAGAGAGAGAGAGAGAGAGAGAGAGAGAGAGAAACAGTCCTAAACAAAAAGCACATTTATCTTAGCATTTCAAGAATAGAACTGAAACAAAATTTCCTTTGCAAAGGCTGTTGAAGAGATGTTTGCTCAGTTCCATTTAAAATTACACTTATACTTCCAAAAACACACTGAAACACGGATTTTATTTTTTCTTAATCATGATGATTTACTTAGGACATACTGGACTGGATTAAAAAGTAAGTTAGCAAAACAATTCAAAAACATCTAAAAAAAAACCCTCTTAGCCTGGTCTGGCAAGAAAATATTGGAGATGACTGTTGTTTGAAGTGGTCCATAAGTTAAAATTTTTCATGCATTTATTGTCAATTTTTGTTTATGGATGTAAAACAGGACACTAATTGCAAGCAGGTATTTAATTCACAAACATTCCAAGAGTAGGTCGTGACTATCAGATTTACATAAAGAGCAAAAGACATTAATCACAATTTTAGTAGACCTTACTGTAAATGTAATAATGAATTATTGTCTTGCATGATCTTTTCTTGTTTTGATATGTTTTTATTTCCAGGGCTCTCTGCTTGAAACAGAAATCACTGCTTTGAAGCAAACAGTGCAACATCCCAAGTAATTGGAACAACAGAATGAAAAATTTCTGAAGCTGCTCTTGCTACTTGATTAAAGGAGACTAGAGATGCACAGCAAATAAAAAGGCACTTTTTAGAGAAAAAAAAAAAAAGTCTTAAATCCTCAATGATCAAATATCCCAAGCTACCATGAGAAAATGTGTAACACACTTTATTTTGTTGTATAGCACATATCTGATTTATTGAAAAAAAAAAAGAAAAAGAAAAAAGACATACGTACATGAAGAGATCAAATATACCTTTAAACAGTATGTGCTTCTCCTGGAAGTTACATGTCTTCTAAAAGGCGTAAATCAGTGAATTAGTTACCTGGTCCAAGTAGCCCATGTTATTCTGTCAATCACAGCCTGGTCCACAAGCTGCTTTCCTGAAGGCACTTCATAGACTTGCCTTTTGTAAGACCCAGTAGAGACCTTTGACATGAACAAAGAGAACAGTTTAGATGAATGCAACAGCCATGAACATGTTTGAAATGATGATGATTCTAAAGGCTTCAGCAAAACATTTTTGATAGCATGCTGCGAGTAGCTTAGCTATTAACAAAGCCATCCTCATGGGTCTCCTTGCCCAATGAGTTCAGAAGTCTAAAAAAATCTACATAAATAGAAATTAACAAAAGGTAATGGGTAAAATTCTAAAATGTCTCATCAATAGAATATAGCTTAAATTATACATACTCTGTATAATATTCACTCTTTGTATCTAGTCAGTGTGTGTTAGTACATGTGTGCATAAAAATAATTTTATTTTAGCCCCTGGGAGTTGTAACACCAAGATTTGGGTGCTGCTCAGAGTGACACTAAGACTGTACCCAGCACTTCATTGCAAAATACAGCTTAGCTGTCAAAGGGAAATATTTCCACCCTCTGTCATCAGTATTTTGCCATTCAGTTTTTTTCAACCAACAATGACTGATACCTGAAGGTATGAGCTATCTGCAGAGAAGTCCATCTGGATCACAAAGCTTGGGATATCTTTGCAGTAGCTGACTCGATTTAGCGTGGGACCCAATGTCAGATCATAAAAATCCACTGCATTCTCACTGGAACCCACTGCTAAGTAACGAGAATCTGGGCTAAACCTGAACATAAAAAAAGAGTTTAAAATAGAGTTTAGCACTGTGCAATAAGAGTTCACTATTTGACAATCACAGGGGCATTTTCATTTCTAATGAGTAACTGCTACTCAGAACAACATGCACACAGAGCTAAACTGACAGAAAGACATTTCTAGCATCTCTCACATGTCTTTTCAGTCTTCTTGCGTAAAGCTTTAATCTCATTTTACCTCCTACCCATCATCTCACCTTGTTCCTCCATACACCCTTAATCTGCCCCCTAGTTAGGATGGACTCTTACCCATGTTGTCCACTTGCCTCCCTATTCCCTCTTCACAGAATCACAGGATGGTTGAGGTTGGAAGAGACCTCTAGAGATCATCTAGTCCAAACCCCTGCTCCATCAGGGACACCTAGAGCAGGGAGCACAGGGTGGCATCCAGGTGGGTTTTGAAGATCTCTAGAGAAGGAGACTCCACAACCTCCCTGGACAACCTGTTCCAGGGCTCTGTCACCCTCACAGGAGGAATTTCTTTCTCACGTGGAGATGGAAATGCCTCTTTATTTTATCTAATCCTTGTCAGTACTTCCTGAGCTTTCTTGTGCTCCAATATCTGCTTTGTTTAATTGCTTGCTAATGACTATCCTCAAGTATCATCTACTTCCTCTTTATTATTAGTATCAGAGTAATTGCAAGAACTCGATAATTCACTTATTGATTCCAGCTCACTGTAGGCATACAAAGTACACAGAAATATATATTTCTAAAAAGATCAAAGATCATATTTGATAGTTATACTGGGTTAGGAAGAAATTAATACATATTTTTGATACAAAAGCCAGGCTGAGACCATTTCTAATTCTGATACTTTTCTCAGATAAAATATTCTCTTTAATGATACTAAGTTCATTTTTCTAATTTTGTAGCTCCATCTATTTTTCAGGTTTTCAGGATACTACAGCAGACAAAGCCATTTATGTTCTGACCTGATATCCTGAATAGCTGATCTTCTGTCCCTTTTCTTCCCCCATATTTTCAGAGAGTTCACAAGTAAGATGATAAATTCTCCATTTTTCATGCCAATTGCTACCATATCGCCTTCTGGGCTGTAACAAACAGTACGAGCTGCGTGTCCTAAACTGACTTTGTTCAGCATCTTCTGTGAAAATGTAACACAAGAAAGTAATAAATGTTTCTATTTATTCATATTTCAAATTAATTTATGCTAGCAGTTTGCCAATATCAGAAGAATTAGTCTCAAAATACCAAAGTCCATGTCAAACAACTATAAACGCTTAGTTTTTATTAAAAAAAAGACTAAAAAAACCCACAAAACCTTTCAGTTCTCAAAATTTAAACAATTTGGCTTTGCCAAAATAACAACTATCTTTCACACCTACCTTTTCAGCAATATCCCAGAGTCTTACTGTGCCATCTTCTGCAGCAGAAAGGAAAAAGTCTCTGGAAGGATGCGTTGCCAGGCCCCAGATTGGTCCATCCATATGACCATTAATGAGAATGTTACATGCAGCATTTTTCTCTCCAACTTCAATTATTTCAGCATTCCTTGTCCCAACAAGAATTTTTCCCTGGAACAACAGTGACAGAACGATCCCCAGTATAACACATCAACTGACAGTGCAGAACAGCAACAAAAGCAAACAACAAAGCTACAGTTCTGTCCAGAAGGTCTGCTGAAATCAAATACTCAAAGCTAATTTATTTTTAAACTCAACGATGATCTATTATAGGGCAGGACTGTACATATATCATGGCACTCCTGCTTGTAAGACTTCAAGACTGTAAGATAGGTCTCATCCCCCTGATTCTAAGCCCTGTTTTAAAGGGTCCCCTGCTTTACCTTGCCTCGGCAAACAGAGCGAACGCAGTCAGTCATTTGTCCTGTCTCCAGTCTGAAGGCTCGGCATCGCTTCAACTCTTGATCCCATAGTTTAACTGCTCCCCCTTCTTTTGATCTACCATGAAACCAAAAGCAACCATGAGTAGGACTGGTTAAAAAAAAAAAAAATCAAAAAAAAAAACCACCAAAAAAAAACCCACACAAGGAGAACATTGATGTTTACTATCATTTAATGAAAATCAAGATATTTCTGGTCTATTTTGAACCATTCTGACATTAAGTATCCGTTAGTATTTTATACCACAGCTAATACTAATGTTTCACTTGCTAACTACAAAAAGAACACAGCTTTTATGTAGTGATCAGTTACGAAACTATGACCACTTTTAAACTGATGGACAATTCTCTTTACATGTTCTCAAACTTCCCAATTACTTCTTGATACAACAAGCAATGTACAGTATTCTTTTTGGCTGTACTATTTGGTTAAAGTTTCAGAAGGGTTTCATTCAACTAGAAGTTTCATTCAACTAGAATGTTTCACCAAGAAACTGCAAAATAGCAGTTAGAAGATTCTTTAATTAAAAACAGTATAGGAACAAAAGCCTATTTCCCAAACTCAGGAACTTAAGAAAGTCACTTAGGTGGCCAGAATCTTAAACACTGGAGGCTTTCTCTAAGAGAAAAGATCAATGAAAAAAATAGGTTCTGGAAACTCATGTGCCCTGACTTACACTTGGAGGTGGTAGCTATTCTTTTTTCTACAAACTATTTAGGGGTCCTAAAGTGATTTTTCTTCTTTGACATCTCAATCAGTTGAATCAGAACCCCAGTTTTAGACAGAATGTATCCAAACCACAGTCTTCAAAGAATATGAGTGCATACAGAAAGAAAAAAATAATAAAAAAAAAAATAAAAAATAAAAAAAAAAAAAAAAGGAAAATTAAGGAGAAAAAAAAAGAAAAAAAAAGAGAGACTTACGGTCTTTCCTTGCCTCCAGTAACGATCAAACCATCTCTTAATGTAGTGTACATTGTGAAAACAGGTCCATTGTGAGCTTTGGCCACAATTCGTATCAACACATGATCTTTCCAAACACAAACATCTCCACTGATAGTACCTGTAAACGTCAAGTTATTCTGAAAAGGGGAAAAATATATTCAACATCTGATTGTGAGTAAGGCAGGAAGAAAAACAGTCAGAAATACTTAAAGGTCATGACCATTTGCATTTAGACTAGGCTGGTTTTATTAACTGCTGCTGCAGAGTAGAGGGGCAGAGGCTGCAGAGTAGATCGTGGAGGGGCAGCAAGAACCTCCAGGATCAGAGCAATCAACTACTTATACTGTCCTATATATAGGACACTATACGTGTGTGTGTGTGTGTGTGTGTGTGTGTATCTTTTCACTGCAAAAAGAAATGCAATGACAGATTATTATTATTTTTTTTTTTTTTAACAGCCAAAAGGTCTCTCCTAGGAAGAAGATGTTGCCCCCTCAAATCAGAGGTAGCTGATGAGAGAGGCACCACTGTGGAAAGAGGATATTTGTACTTTCAGAATCCAAAATCAACAGTAAAAATTCAGTGTGGACCCAGCCTGCAGGTGAGAAAGCAGAGCAGGAACAAGTGCTACGAATGAGCAGCAGTCCTTCAGGAAGAGGATGCAGCTCTCAGCCCAACTGGGGTAAGAGATCTGCTCATACAGAGCAAGACTGGAAATGGCAAAGATACAAAACTCAGCAACAAGACCTGAGCCTGTCAAAAACAACAATACCAAGCCCCCAAACTAAAACCTCACAGCCATAAATATTAATGGTTGTCCCCGGACAGTGCTGTTCTGAACAGCAACATATACAGATTAGAACATAAATCACCATTTTTCCTGCTGCTTTTTTTTTTTTCTTTCTCGCTCTAAAGAGCAGATATTGTAACTATTAGAAATGCTAAACTGAGTTTAGCAACACAACTGACTCATCAGCAGGTCTGAAAAGTCTTGCTTGAACTGTAAAGAAGGCAGAACAGTCAAGGCATTTTTGTACACGTGTATTTTTAAAAAGTTTGTCATGGTACATACAGCTCCGAAAGCCACAGAGAGCATCGTCTGCATTCGGGCGTCTTCTATGGAACTCAGCAGCCCTTTTTTACTGAGAAGGGCTCTTCCAGCCAGGGTCCAGAACCTCACGTGCTTTACTCCCACGGAAACAAACTGCGTATCCGAGTCTGGTCTGAATTCTGCTACAAATATACGCTGGTTGTGACCAGCTCGGCTGGCAATTTTGGCACCTGATAGAAAGAAAATGGACATTTTGCATTCACTGAGAAAATGCATCTACAAATATTGACAGACAGGTCAGGAATAGCATAAACTATTGCTGATGTAAGCTTTAACCATGTTCTGCAACATTTTAAATTCTTGAAAACTGTATTTTAAAACTATGTAAATCCAAGCAGGCAGACAACCCCTTTTAGATTCCTAAGATTTCTCTTAAAATTCAAAACTCTGGGTGACTCTAAATTGCATGAGACTAATGGGTGGTTGCTGTACATTTTCTCCAAATATATAAATATTATTTCATTCTTGCAGAAAATGAAAAACTGACTTTGATACATGTGCTTTTAGAATCAAAGGAGTGCTCTTATAGTCTTTGCAGGGCTGATTTTTAACAGGCATTTTGACACAAAGGAAGACTCTTTGTGATTTTTATTATCTAAAAAGATATCAGGCTTCATGAGGTACTTTGCCTCTTCCAGGTGTCACTTAACTGCCACACTGGGGCTGTATGAACTCGTAAGGATAAGCCCAGAGATGTCTTGGCTGAAATGGCAGTGAACTGCACTGCAAGCCTTTACTTCCATACAACCTATAAATAATTTTAATTTAACCAGAGTCTCTATAAACACATGTTTGAATCAGGATTTTATCAGGCACACACTGCAAAAGACTATTTTTAATAACTCAGTAGCTGATCTTGACACATCTGAGATTAATTCATCAGCAGAAATCTCCAAATGAAGAGAAAATAAACTCTTAAGTCTGGAAAAGCAACATCACATTATCAGAATGGATAAGTACATTTAACTTATCTTTTCTTGTACAGTACATACAGTACAGCACTTACAGTAATTATTATCAGCTGATATTTTTACTTTAAAACTGTCCTCAACCCAACCTGCCTGTAACAATACAAACGCATTCTACAAAAGCAGCCACATTCCTACCTTCCTGCCATTTCCAAATGGTAATGGTATGTTCAGGATCCAGCCCTACAGAGAGCAGCAGTTTGCCAGTGGCACTGAAGCTGACTGAGCAAACGCCCTTCGAATGGTAGCACCGCAGCACCGATAACGTCTGCTTGTTCATTGCATCCCACACGTGGATGGAAGGGGCTGTAGCTACACAAATATAAAAATGAATTATTAGTACCTGTTTTGGAATCACATAAAGATTTTTTTTACTGAAACACCTAAGATTTTTTAATACGGACAAATAAAATTGTTCTGGTAAGGAGGAAAAAAAAAAGGAAATAAAAGGCAGATTTTGGCTTTGCAACACTACTACAGATGTAAACTTAATCGTTACTGGACTTCTGATTCAGAGCAAGAGAGCTACAAACAGGTCTTCTGTAACTCTGTATCTTTCACAAATAACGAGTTCTTCACTGTGGGGGTGACAGAGCCCTGGCACAGGCTGCCCAGGGAAGTTGTGGAGTCGCCTTCTCTGGAAGTCTTCAAAGCCACCTGGATGCTGCCCTGTGCCCCGTGCTCTGGGTGTCCCTGCTGGAGCAGGGAGTTGGACTAGATGATCTCTGGAGGTCCCTTCCAACCTCAACCATTCTGGGATTCTGTGTTTCACGAGGTTCCTCTCTGCCCAACTCTGCAGCCTGTCCAGGTCCCTCTGGATGGCATCACAGCCCTCTGGAGTGTCGGCCACTCCACCCAGCTTGGGATCGTTCGCAGACTTGCTCAGGGTGCCCTCTGTGCCCTCGTCCAGGTCATTGATGAACAGGTTGAACAGCACCGGGCCCAGTACTGACCACTGGGGGACACCACCAGCCACAGGCCTCCAACCAGCCTGAAGTATAAGTGTGTCTCCAACTTCTCTACATACTCCTTCCATAACTCTGACTGCAGAGCCTGGAAGTTATTCCTGTGTTTTCTCTTAGATTCAGATTCATACAAACTAAATTCTAATTCAGCTCTATACTTTGTGTTTCTATTCCACTAAATCTAGTTCTTCAAAGGCCCCCATTTAATAATGGAAAAAAAGTAGGCACAGAAACACAGGTAAAATTTCAACTAGGTCCTAGTGCATAATACCATAGTGGTTTCAAAGCAACAATTGTTCTGAGTAATCTAATTTCCCCTAAGAATTTCTTTACATAGCATCAATATTCCTTTATTGGCACTTTATTGGTGCTACAGCATAGTATAAACAAGACATTAAGCAGAAAAGGCAAGGGTTGGCAACATCCAGCATTCCTCAAAAATTTCAACAAGCGCCTTGTTGTCCTTGGAGGGAGTTGAGGGAATGGAAAGTTTTACTATGGGCTCTGAATAATTGTTGTTGTTGGCTTTTTTTTTTTTTTTTTTTTGGTTCTTTAAGCATTCCCTTTAGTAAAACTATGTATTGCCCTTGATCTGTAAGCTCCCACATAACCTCAACTGAAATTTTTTTTTGGGTGGCAGATGGAACCTTCATCTTGATTTCATGAATAAGAACCAAGGAGGTTCATCAGAGGAAGGTATTTCTCTCTGTCAGGACACACGGTCTGAATTCTTCATTCTTCCTAATTATGTTCCTCTGAAACTGTCTATCCTGACCTTGTATTGTGCTTATGGACTACTCCAGCTGCTCTGTGTCTGCTCTCATAAGAAATACTCTCTAAAATGACATTGCCTTTTGGGTGAAGCTGAAAAAAAACCACCATTGGACAGCAGAAAAAGAAAAACAAAACAAAACCACAACAAAAACTTTACTAAGATGAATCAGACCTATACCAAGTAATTATTGATTTTGATTTGTCATCCCAGTCTCTACCAAAAATTTCTGCTTCAAAAAAACCCTGCATCCACTATGGACAACAGAAAATGGAAACAGAAAAGTGAAAGTTAGTAAGAAAGCTGTCAAATATCCATCAATCAATTTGAAGGGAAAATATCTGCAACTTCATAATGAAGGGAGGCAGCAGCTTGGATTCCTGCCTAATGGTCCCCTAAAGAATAAAATCAGTGTGCTGGTTTCAGGCAGTGACAACATAAGTTATTAATACATACAAGCTCAAGGTCATAAATTTGCAATAGGAAGAAGGCAAGTGAGAAAGGAAAAGCATCCAGGCATTATATGCAAGGCTTGAGACGCTCGTTCATATAAACAAGATCATCTCTGCCTCTTTTATATAGGTCAAAAGCATGGGAAAAGGTACCTATATTCTTCCTCCCATCCTTGGAGTAAGCATTATTTGGTATATTTGAAAAAAGGTCAACAATCATTACACTTGCTAGGTCTTTATGAACAAACATTTATGCATCTCTTTGAAAATGTGTCACAAGACAACTGTGTCTGCCCGACAATGAACTCACTCACACATGATGGTGATGATTTTTAAGATTATTGTTGAAAAACAACATACTAATAAAAATACCTCAGTCAAGACTGTCAAAGACCCAAAATGATACATAAAAAATTAAAGTGACACCATAACAAGCATTTTGGATCAGTGGTAATAAGTGCATGACAATCATACATAAATGTGAAAGGTGATTGCTTTATTCACTCAGTCACCTAGGCCTCCTCAATGGAATTCACTTTAAAAATATATATTTAAAATCATACTCAGTTGAATATCTAAAACAAATATTAGTCATCAGCCCCAACACGTTCTATAATACGTAGAAGCATACATAGGTATGCTACAGTTGCAATATATATTAGAACTTGCTTATTACTGGGCAGCAAGAAGGGAAAATGTTGCAAGGAAAGTTTTTTTTTTTTTTAATGTGTTCTAACTTTTTATTTGTTTCTATATTTACAATTTCCTGAGATATTGTGGTTTATGTTCAACGCTGACAGTAATACGATTGATATAGGGTTTTAATCAACTGGAAATGAATTCACATAACTTATTGCTCTATAAAGTTGTAGATGGCTACTACATAGGCTAGCTACACCTGAAGACGTTAAAATTTCATTTCCCTTACCTGACATATCTGCTGAGTCTCCTGTAATGGAAAAGCAGCAGAAAAATAATTAGACCAGAAATAAGATAAGTTTTAAAGAAAATATATGCTACATTTAGTGTAATGTCTTCGCACACACCTTGATGACATCCCTTGGCATTGCAGCAGCACCAATACTGCTTTGAGTGTTAAACAATCACTGATGACTAAGTGGTAGTCATGTCAGAAATAAAAATATATTCATTCTACTAATTTATATTTCATTTTAAAACACAAAAAGATCATTTTGATGTACGTTAGGTCTGCCTGCCGAACTTTAAAAAACAAAATAAATAAATATATAATATTTTACTGAAATGTTAAAGAAGTGAAGTAAATGCCAATTGCTATTCTGCTAAGAAGCCATGTTTGAATATGAGCTTGACAAGAGACAAGCACTTCCAATACTATTCTGCAGTGGGGGTAAGAAACCAGGATTATAAAGATTCACGTTTGGGGAAGCATTACAGACACTCTATATGATGGCATTATCCTAAAAAAATTTATAAAATATTTATAGTGACATTTCTGTTCATCTTTGGAAGATATAAATCATGATGGTGAAGTTATGTTTGTGCCAGACTTATCAACAGGAAAGAAGCAGTTAAGTACATTGTTTATTAAGTCTTTCAAAATCTAAAAAAAAAACCTTATTGGAAAATATTTTGATTTTATTTCATTTTTCAGATGCAACTCTCCCCTTTGAAATAGGTATTTTCATCGTTTTAAGTGTCATCTACTCCTGCTCTGTGTTCTTTCATCCAGGCTATCAAACAGCTGAAACTATTCTACAGCTAGATGATGCAGAAATGATCAGGAAATAAGCATTAATATAGTCCTTTGCTTCTTCGTGTGTAAGATGAACACCGAAGACAACAATCCATGCAAAGAACCAGTTTTCACATTATATCTACATTTTTCCCATATATTCTAGCTTATGAAAAGGCAAATAGGGCCAGATTGAGAAATATGATTAAAAAGAAAATGAATTCCTTAAGACATCTATTTTCCTACAAATATTCTTCGCAATCAAAACATAAGCAAAAATCTCCAGCTATTTTTTTTCCATTGAAATAATTTACATTATACAATAATTATTTTGTTAAATTGATGCGAGGTAAAAAGCTCACCAAGAAATAAAGCTCTTTTAGTTAGGCAGCGATGGTGAATATCATTTTTGTAAAAAACATACTGCTAACAATGAGTCTATTTTAATGAAACATGCAGTTAGGCATCCAAGAATCACAGATAATGAAATCTGCCAAACTGACCATACAAGACTGTTTTTGTTCTCTATCCTAAACAAACAGTGAGTCCTTGAATCTGCTCAAAAAGAACTGAAAGTATGAAAACTACACTTGTTTTGTAGGACTACAGATAATTAGAGTATTTGAAAAAACTACAGAAACAACAGTTAATTCAGCTATGTAGATGCACAGGCTTTTTATTATAGATCAATTTTAATATTACTATTTTTAACATTATTATGAAACTTATTTGTTTTCCCCAAAGATCTAAATTTATCTGTAGGGGAAAGAAAGAACAAAAAATGATAGGGGTTAAGTTCTGCCTAGAATATTATAACTAGGTATTATCAAAGCATTAAGTAGGTATTTTAAATCTGCCTGGTGGGATAAACCTACATAAATTGTCAACTATTTTAGGAATTTTCTTCCGAGTCCACATAGAGATGAGAGATACCTTAATTAGCCTTCTTTGGAAGGGCTATGATTGTCCTAATAAAAGTTGATAGGTAAAAATAGAGTAGTTACATGGGGCTTATAATGCCTAAGAAATATTTTTGATAATGTTCCAAATAAATGTTCCATCTTCTTATACACCTCAGTGTTTTGGGTTTAACTTTATTATATTACACTGAAAAAGACATATAAAGAGGACAGGTAACTGAGTAACATTCATACAAACAGAGATAGCATAATTAAATATTTTTGTGATTTATCATGAACTCACAATGCCCTAATTGCATGCTCTTATGTTAATTTCTTTTTACAAAAAATACAAACATACCTACTTGGCCAGTTGCCACTATGTTGGTAAACTTGGGATGCTGATTTACAGTGAGGCACAGAATATCGTCATTGTGTTCCTGGTAAAAGGACTGAGAGCCTAAAAATAAGAAAATGCAATTTTTGTTTGCACACACAGGTTTCAAACTTCATACTACTTAAAAGAAAAAAAAATTATGGTGACATTACACTTTGGAGTCTAAAACTGGAGAACAGGGACCTGACTTTTTAAACTTTATTTTAAGACCCTATATGCAATAACTCTGACCTATTCCACAATTGCTTCTGCATCAATCTCATTCGTTAGGAAAACAGAGATAATGTTGCAGAACTATTGGCAAAACCTTCATGCGTTTAACTAGTATGTTAAGTTGGCAAGAGGTGGAAGTTTTCTATTATATAACTAATTTTTGACAGAAACTGCAACAGGACACTGCAATGATTCTGATATACAGGGACTTCAGAGTGACGATTCTCAAATTTGAACAACCAGTGGCTTAAACATCACAGAAACAAACAGCACTGGGTACTCTTTATTAAATAAGGTTCACTGTGCTATATAAACTAAACTGTTCACAATGACATAATGTATGTGGTGCGGAGGATTGAAAAGTAAAACAAATAAAAATCATTTACCACCTTGTTTGCCTGTTTTAATTTCAGTGATTGTTTCTAACAATCTAATTAAAACCTTACTTCCTTCAAAATTCAATCAGAGCTTTAAATCCATCTAGGGTGGCTCACACAGATATTATAAGTCATCTCTATAGAATGAATTTTCACACAGCAATTATTATATGAACTATACCTCAATGTGTGAGAAGAAACATTTCTCTCAAGCAGCTTTTCTCCTACCTGTTGCCACATTATACAAGATCCCAATGGATGCAGTATGATAAATTACATCAGCACCATCATTCAAGTAGTGCACATTGTTCCTGCAGTCCTTGCCACGGTACCCAAATACCAGCTCCAAAATTAGGTCCTTTAAAAAGAGAAAAAAAGAGGGAGAGAAAAAAAAAAAAAGTAGATATTTAAATCTATTAGATATTCAAAAACTTAAACCATGAACTTGATATCCTTTTCCAGGATGTTATCAAGGCTCTAAGGATGCCTCAAACTGACAGACATTGAACCGAGGTCCTGCCTGTTGGGTCACCTTAGGCCATTTCCCACCCTTGCTGTAAACAGCCTCCTCATCCTACACCCCCTCATTTTGTTGGATCCTGAATATGCATGTACATACACACAAACACTCAATTAAATTGCAATACTACAATAAGCAAAAAAAGAATACCGCTCTTTCGATATAAAGGACACTGGTCACTAATTCAGTACCAGCTGACAATTAAGAGTTGCCACCTAAAACTTGTAGAAACTCTTAAGGTAAAATGCCACACTGTACCAAAAATTTTGTTTCAAGTCACAGAGCACAGCAGTCTTCAGCTGCTATGAAAAAATGCACAATTCAAGTGTTTATTTCAGTTCATGAGATTTTAATTTCAGATTAATCAAAACTGAGTATACATCTCTTTCTTTGCAGTGGCCATGTACTGAACAAAATGGTGCTGGGTGCCAAAAGTCATCAAGACTAAATTTCTCTTTTGTAAGTGTTAACAAAAGTGAATTTGAACAAATTTTTAAAATAAACTTTGTTCTTTGTAAATCTCCCACACAGTTACAACGAATACAATCCCTTGGTGTACCCTTTTTCATACATATTTCTGTACATCTACTTTTAGCAGAAAATCCTAGAAGAAGAGAGGGAGGAGTGCATTTTTGCTTACCTCTATAGGTCTCTTCTTTTTCCCAACATTATTTGTCTGAAGTTTCTCAGGCTGTGGCAATGCCCTACTAACTGGTGGTCTGAAATAAAGAACTGTGAATAAGAGAAGGCTGTCTGTCACCCATTCCAAACTAACATAGCACTTTCTAACCTGTTACTGCAAATGGAAAACACATAGCACCACTCTGTTTAACTGGCATTTGCATTTATCTTTAAAAGAAATACCTCTGTGAAAAGGAAAAAAGAAAAAGCCCTTTGATTTCAGATGTGGTACCTGTTCAACATGGTACCCTTTCTGAGAATTTTGAAATAATTCATGAGGTTAATGCAAAATCTTGTTTTTTAATTAATATGACAGTTGATCTCTCTGCTATTTCAGAATATATTCTTAAGGTACTTCTTCCTTCTCTATAACAACTACTGTGGGATAAAATTTAAAAGGTTACCTAATTAGCCTAAACACTTGACATCATCTTTACCTGTTTCCACATTTCTTCAGCAAACCCTTTTTTCCTCATTCTTGCAATAGTGTGTAAAGAACCCCAGATACTCTTGCCCATTCAGTTCTTACAAAAGAAAAAAAAAAGCCCTGAACACTCAATTTTAAGTAAACTGTCACCACATAAAGGCATGAAAGTTAGCACAGTATGTTCCACTGTTCTAAATAGTCCAGATTTAAGAAATCTCAAATAGATATATTTGATAAATACCTCTTCATCATCTCTCTATATATTTCTATATCACAAACAACATACATCTTTCAGACACTGTTAATGAAAACTAGTAAAAACAAAAATATCTTTTATTTATCAAAACTATTAAATTATTTCTAGTAATTTAAAGGCACAATGATTATTAATTCTACACATATAAAATGTCTGTCCCTTGAAAATAAAAAAATACATTTAAAAATAAATGCTATAACAAAATAGTGAAATTCAGATGATTTAATCTAGTGGGCAGGATGACAAGCTAATATTAGAACATAAGGCAGCAGTTTGCCTTTCTTATTCTCTTTCTAAAATGAAGTACTTTATCTTTTGATTATGTCTCTGCATATTTGCCACAAAATAAGCACTTCATGTACAACCAACTATATGCTTATACATTATCTATTTGAATAGCGAAGTTATTTAAGAACTAACTCCCCATAAAACCATCAGTCTGCTGGATGAACTTATCAATTCAACCAAATACAATTAAGTTCAATAAGAAGAGGTATTTTGTTAGAGAGGGCAAGAAGTAAATATTTGAAAAAAAGGAAAAGATATAAAAAGATAAAATATATTTAGCTCAACATCATAAGCCTAGATTTTGTAGCATTTAAGATACAAGAGAAAATCCAAAGCAAAATCTGTATTACACTGGAGAGTTAACAATGTGCCTTTTCACAATATTTTACACTTAGATATGGGCTAGATTAAGCAAATTCATCTCAAAGCAAGGTATAAAATAATAATTCAAAGTCAAAAAAAGACTAAAAACCCAATGAATGAAAGAAACTCTTCAATTCATACTCAATTTCATACTTCTTTAATAATTCAATGTAAATTTTATGAGGAACAGAAGATAGAGAGCATTAACTGGAATATGGAAAAAGACTTTCTTCATTTCACACAGGACTGTAGTCCAACAGTTGTTTCTTGCTAGTTCAAAGGTTTGAGAACACTCCTTTGAGAACAGACTTCTAATACACAAAGTCAAAATTTCAGGACAACTACCAAAGAAGTCCAGTGTGGACTTCTTGCAGTCAAAGTCTTCTTAGCCCCAGACAAATGTTAAATATCACAGTGTTTAAGTACATTCCTTCAGCGTTTCTGGAAAGGAGCCCAGCAGGAAAGCACCGACAGTGAGGCAACTTTTTCCCTCCCAGAGGCCTGCAGTTGGAAGAAATTCATGGCGAGCTCAAGACCAATAAGCCAGGCAGCTGAGCTCTTCTTTTAGGTAGCTGAGCTCTTCTTTTAGGTCTAGCCCAGACCTAGCTCACAGCCAGTGCATCCTGTGCCTTATTCTGTGACCATGAAAAAAGATGTTCCCAACTTTGAGGGAAAAGAAAGAAAAGCAGACCAAGAATGCAGGGGGGGGAGGGGGGCTGGTGCTGGGTTGCCCTCCTCTTCTACACAAGCATAGGCCAATACAAGAGGCAAGGAACATGTCTGGTTCCTGTCAGCAATCCAACTTCATAACAACTCTCTTTCAGACATGGCTTTCCAGGTGCTACCCTTCATGGGAAATTCCCAGCCCTCCCAGTTACCTCCCAGGTCATTTCTCCTGTCCTGTCATCACCAGTTCCTAGTCCCCTTTCATCTGTTCTCACTCTAGACTGACACATGCCCAACATCTACTATTCTGCCTTTTGCTCTTGTCCACCTTCTAGCTTAGCACTTCCTACGCCAGCCCTCATGCTTGTAATAGCCACTCGATCTCTACAAACATCACCTTTACTTTTAAAAGATTTGTTTGTGGAAGTCTATTTCTTTCTCAACCTTTTCGGTTATTTTTACCCTATATGTCCTTTCACATAAGGGTGTAATCTTCAGACTTGCAATGGAAAAAAAAAATGCTTGTTCCATAGCATTAGGTAGAAGAGCAATTTCAATTACAAATAAACCGATCAAGATTTTCCTGAGATAATAGGTATCTCCTATGGTCATGGTAGCCTTCTTAAGTGCTGTGTATTAATTGAATCAAATCCAATCAAATAAAATGACTGAAATGTGTGAATACATGCTGTAGGTGTGCCTGCTTGAGCAGGAAGGTTGGACTAGATGATCTGTAGAGGTCCCTTCCAACCTTAAATATTCTGTGAATCTGTGAATCTGTGAATAGAAATCCAAAGGACTAGAAAGATCACTGCCATACCCCCTTACTCATCCCAGAAGCATCAATACGCAAAAAGCGAATGCTTTGTTTGCCGAACAGAAACACCGAACATGATTAGCAGCCTACAAAGCCACTAGCTGACAAAAACCCAAAGATTCCTTAAAAAGGAGAAGTTGAGTAAGAAGCAAAGGTCACGTTCTTTTTGCACTTATAGAGAGCCTTTCTGACTAAGAGAAAAGCATTATTTCTGCTGCTTTTCAAAAAAGAAAAGCATAATTTCTGCTGCTTTTCAAACAACAAATAAATCACTATTTGTAGGTAGCAAGCACGTAAGACAAAGATGTCAGATTCTAGGCCTCAGATAAGTTTCTCTGGCACTTCAAATAGCAGAGCTCAAAACAGGAGACTACCACATGTACCACAAATTAAAACTGATCCAAAGCAAGAGTTCAAACTTTGCACAACTGGCAAACCAGAGCATAAGGAGCCCTCCTTCCACTACTTTCTTTCCCTTTCCTTTCTCCCTTTTTTCCCCCATTTATGTCTCTGAAAGATAAGGAGAGAAAAATAAAAGTTAAAAAGAGCATGAGAGCTAACTTAAGTTTCTCATTTCATTCTTCTCAGTAAAGAAAGCAATGGAAGCAGAAAGGCCACAGATGTGGCGGATGTTTATGTTATCAAGACTGAATTGCAAGAATTCTCTGCTGCCTACATCTAGAATACAGCGTTTTTATAACATTTGTTGGCTGCTAATCTCTTGTGACAGGATGAGAGAAGAGTTAAAACAGCCTCACATTATATAATTGCTTTAAAAGACCATCTATATTTTATGTCTATACAGATTGGTGTACATACAGGTAGGTAGCCATCCTTAGCCAGACATTTGAGTTGGGATATTTATAGACATACTCATAACAAACAATTGCAGCAAAACTGACTGTACATTCAGTCAATAAAACTTAACATGAAAATGTATGCTCAGTTATGTGTCTCTCAAGTCATCTAAACAGTTTATGTAAATACCCATCTATGAAAATACTCTATGTTGATTCAGAGCAGTGGAATTAGAAGGCAAAGTACATGAATGTATCTATTTTTTCCCAGTTAATCATCAGGGTGACAACTGAGCAGGAACATCAAAGAACTCCAGAATACATTTTAAGAGTACTTTTTCAAAAATACATCATCTGAAGATCTTTTTCATTTGCTATTTCTTAAATTTCATGTGCAGGAACATGATGAATTGCACATACAACATATAGTGGTCACACAACTGCATGCATCATATTGGCTTCATTCATATTGTGGACATAAGATGGACAGCAGAAGCATGGAGAACATTTTGGAGCAAGTGGACATGTAGATGGGGTTGCTCTGAAAATGGAGGAGGAGATTCAAGACATCTATGGCAGGGGAAGCAAGTACCTTAGTATATACATTTTATTTTCAGCATGCAAACAGAATCAATATTTGTATTGCATTATTCCTTGTTAGAAGACTAAAAAAAAAAAAAAAATTAAAAATAGCAGTTTACTCTGCCTTTAATCCTCCCTCCCCTCATACTTTTGGGAATAGTTTCAATATTACTGGCACTGATATCCAGGTTGCCTTGTATGACACTACTGTATCTGTCTCTATTTTTGATATGCAGTTTCTAAAGTTACTAGTGGAACAGATGGTGGTCTTTTGAATTGTTCCCCTGTGATTCATATAAACTGTCACTAATTCTTTACTTTCCACAGTATTTTTTTGATAATGCCACTTAGGACTCTTATTTCTGTTTTAAAAATTAGTAAGTTACTTTAAACATGATTTTATAGAGCAGTTTACAGCTGTTGGTACCAATAAAAAAAAGGTTTTTTTGCCTGTGCAAGTCACCAGAGTTACACCTTATGCTTCAGGGAAACTGCATTCGACTTGGGCAATTGATTTTGCATTAGCCTTCAGCACCGAGCAATTTCAATACCCTTTCTGAAAGGTGCCAAGCAGAAAATAAAATACAAAAACAATAAGTTTTTCTGTTTTTACATTTTTTACATTCCTTGTAAGATTTTTAAAGTCACATGTGAAACTTCAGAGGTCTAATTTCCATGAGAATATAATGAAACATAGCAGTTTTTAGATACTGCTTGCTGAGAAAAAATGGTCAAAATGATTTTCCTGTGAGTAATAAGTGCCAATTAGTACGCACAAGTGCATACAAACAGGTATACAATACCTTAGTAATTTAGCAACATGTGAGCCTTGGCATTTTTGG